TCTCCCATAATGTATCTTTAATAAGTTACCTTCCATAAATTCTATAATGACTGACACCTGTTATAGTAAACACACCCTGTGTATTGTTACCTGTATTGTGGTGTAACCTGTTGTACATAAACATAACAATGAAATATTGTTGGGCAATGAAAGCCAAGATCGTTACGCCATGTTCTTTTCTTAAAAAGCCTTCTATGCTGTCTTTTTTTTTTTTCAATTAATAATAAAAAAAAAAATTCAATGGCTGAATAAGGATCATTTACTACCGTATTTCATTACTTTCGTCTACATTAGCCTAGTAAATCGGCTATTTCTATTTATTAAGGCCAGCTAAATTTTCGTCAAGGTCATTGAGATGTAAATAAGGTTAGAGCACGTGATTGTTGGCGAGATTGTAAGTTAGGGTTAGGGTAAGCAATGGAGCTATGTCCAGGGATAGGTTTAAGAATTTTACACCTCGTGACTTTTGACCAAACCTGAAGTTGGCCTTATCATATAGATCTAACCCAGTCCGTGCAGTATAGTAGGACGTTCAAGAGCTAAATCGCTAATATTTGTGACCTAGAAATTGACACAAACGGGTCGCAACGCATATAATAATGTAATCTGATTGTATACGAACTGATTTACATTCAATTGTTTCCGTTTTGACTCTAATTTCAAATCAGTTAGGGTTAGGGTATTTCGCTGGACCTAACCCTAACCCGAGTCTCAACCGAATAGAAAGTTCTAGCGTCTGGTTATTCCAGTCTATTGCGCATGCACCCCAGATAAGCTATGGCGTCGCCGTATGACATGAGTAGTGGAATATGTCTAGCCTCGCTTTTTCTGGTCACTTGTAACAAATGACAATGAATCGCACTATGGTACACGAATCGTGTACTAGTGGTAAAATGTTTATTTTATCTTAAATATTGGATATCAGAAGCCCACCTTTTCCCGGTAAGATAACAACATCAATGTTGATTTAAATTGACAAATAATTCGTGTTTTCAATGTGGAAGACTTTGGATGATATTGAGTTAGAGACTTTAAACCTTATTATCTGCAGTAATTCAATACGTGATTAAAAATAGAAAACTGTAAATGCATTAGTCGGTACATGATTTAAATCAACGATTGAATTGCTGGGCAAGGATCGTGAGATTTATTTAAATCTATGCATGTTTTTGTCACACGATTTTGATTTACTGGACAGAGAGAGGGGCGTATTTTTTTTTTTCCCTTTTCTTTTTTCAGTTTTTCAGTGCGTGATTTCATTTTTTTTTTTCTCTTTAAAAAGAAAACGAAGCATGTATACATTTGATAACACGTTGTTTAAATCAGGTCATACGATACTTTATTAGGGATATTAGTGATAGGAAGTAACTTTTATTACTGGCAATATTCCAGACATGATTGAGGTAGGATTTATCTATAATAAATATAATATACAAATTAATACACACCCGGAAGATTGTTCATTTAAACTTGTGTTTCACCCAACTATTGATATCCTACATTTAAAAATACCCCCCCCCCCCTTTTCAGTGATGCAGGGCTGTCTATTCTTTCGGATGGGACGAAAAATCGAGGTCCCGTGTACACATTGGCGTGCGCGTAAAAGATCCCTTGACAACTGGAATTCGATATAAGAGTAGGCCGTGGTACCGCTGTCCGGGCCAAATTTCCCTCATAGCACACTGTGTGGCGTATGTCCATCTTCATTAGCCCAGTTCGGCGCAGAACAGTAGGACGTTAAATCATTTCATTTTGCTTAAAAATAAACTTTATTTATGACAATATGCATTCGAAGAGGCTGGAACGGTTTGTGTAATTATTTGAGTAAGTATATGTCAAGAGAGAGAGAGAGAGAGAGAGAGAGAGAAATGGAGTTTAACGTCCACTCGACACAAACTAGGTCATTTCGGGACTAACATTTAGTTTAATTTTGTTTCAATAATTCGCTTGCGCGTAGGGGTCTTTAGCAGTGGGAGGAAACCGGAGGACCCGGAGAAAACCCACGAGGTTGGGCAGGCGACCCTACTCCTTGTCACGTACAACCGGGGATTCGAAACCACGCCAGTTGACTCAATGACAGACTTTATGATACAGCGTGCACACGCTAACCATTCAGCCATCCACCCCACCCCACCCCACCCCACCCCACCCCACCCCGTATATGTCAAGCTATATCATCATTAGTTTCCAGTGGTTCGCTAACCCGGAGGTCACATTCTGATTAAAATACAGATCTATATTTCGCTTTGTTTCTTTATACTTTCGATGGCCTACACTACATGAAGATCTGGCTGGTTGTACTGGAAGGTCGCTTAAGAGGTCATGCGAGCGGATATTGACCCTATGACGTCAGACATTGATTAATTAATCAAGCATCGCACACCAAGAACTCGCCGTAACAGGCCGTTTCATTGGCTTATCTCTCACTTAAACCAGAACGCCGCTAATACAACAACTCTTCCAGATCCTAGTGTAGTAAAGACAAGTGAAAAGAAATTTTGAACTAAAAAAAAAAAAAACCGAAACGTTCATCGGGATTTCCCGGCGCGATTCCTTCTTGTCAGTGGTGCAAGGCGGTGAGCCTAACAAGGCAGAGTGTATAGTCGTCCGGGTTTTGCGAAAAACCGAGGTCCCCTGTACACATTAAAGATCCCTTGGCAGTTGGAATTCGATATAAGAGTAGGCCGTAGTTCCGCTGTCCGGGCAAACTGTTCCTCATAGAACACTGTATGGCTTATGCCCGTCTTCATTAAAGGGGCTGTGCGTGAAACCACAGGATCTGTCATTAAGTCAAGTGGCGTGGTTTCCATTCCCCGCGGGTTTTCTCCGGGACCCAAGATTCCCCCCACTACTAAAGACCCCTGCGCGCAAGCGAATTATTGAAATAAAATTGAACCATATGTTAGTTCCGAAATAACCAAGCTTGTTTGGAATGGACAGGGAGAAACCACGCTGCAAAATCCCGGGGAACTTTCTTGACCAACACCAGGATCAGCGTTCATAATCATAGTATTGAGAGTAATATGGCCGATAACCCTACAACCCGACATCACCATATTTTAACCCAACAATACGACATTTTTACGCGACACCACGACATCACAACATGATAACAATCAGCCACCATACACAAGTGAGTCCAAAATTTCAGTCAATTGAAATGGGGGTTTAATATTCTACGTGTTTTCACCAACCGAACAAACGAAGGATAGTGGTTCTCAACTATAAAGGTTTCTCATTTGTGTGTGTGTGGGGGGGGGGGGGGCGAATGGTTAGCGCGAGCGCATTGTATCATAAGGTCTATGATTGAGTTTGTGTGTATGTGGTGAACACACCCAAAGGAATCTTCCTTGACTGGAAACGATTTATATGGGACAACAATCACTTTTTTATTTGATAAGCGGATATTTATGAAACGGCATGCCTGTCTCTAATAAACCAGTGATTTTCGTTCTATAGTTTTAGTCATCGTGCTAAATATAGAAACAGAGAGAGAGAGAGAGAGAGGGGGAGAGAGAGAGAGTTTAACCCCACTCGACACAAACTAGGTCATTTCGGGACTAACACCATGGTTCAATTTTATTTCAATAATTCGCTAGCGCATAGGGTTCTTTAGCAGTGGGAGGAAACCGGAGGACCCGGAGAAAACCCACGAAGTTGGACAGGCGTTCCTACTACTTGTCACGTACAACCGGGAATCGAAACCTCGCCAGTTGACTCAATGGCAGACCGTATGATACAGCGCGCACGTGTTAACCATTCGGCCATCAACCCCCTCCCCCTCCCTGTTTTAAAATGGCTGTCATTGTCGAAAATCAAAGCGACTTACATTAGCAAAGATTACGAACATCTTGATAATTTGTTAGATAAACTGTAACATATTGAAGGTTTAAATCACTTGACACTAATACATTTAAAGTGGTAATAGTCAAGATATACAAGAGAGAGAGAGAGAGAGAGAGAGAGAGAGAGATGGGGTTTAACGTCCACTCGACACAAACTAGGTCATTTCGGGACTAACACATGGTTCAATTTTATTTCAATCATTCGCTTGCGCGTAGGGGTCTTTAGCAGTGGGAGGAAACCGGAGGACCCAGAGAAAACCCACGAGGTTGGACAGGCGACCCTACTCCTTGTCACATACAACCGGGGATTCGAAACCACGCCAGTTAACTCAATGACAGGCCTTATGATACAGCGCGCACATGCTAACCATTCGGCATGATGATAAATAACTATTTCTAATAATTACACCCGGATTCACCTCGATAACATTTCTGCCACATCCAACTACAAATAAGCGGAAAATCCTACTCTTTTTAAATAAATACATTTTTAAAATCCAATTTTTTTGTCGTCTCGACATTCAGTCAATCGCGTGACTGTCCTTACGGCCAGGTCATCACAAGCGTGTTGGTGACAAGGAGTAGGAGAGGGTGTACCACAGGCCCCCCTGGCAAAGATCTACCACTTCCACCTCTCTCTCTCCCTCTCTCTCTCTCGCTCACTCTCTCTAGCTCTAGCCGCCGTGCTAAATATAGGAAGAAGCATGATAATAAAAAACTATTTGTGCACCCAGATTCACCCACCGTTATTATTTTAAACTATGAAGTAATGAATTTTAAATATAACACACAGACATAAGATGATCCTAATATTTAGATTATTGGGGGGGGGGGGGGAGGGTAGCGTCCAATTAATCCGACGGCAAATAAATACATTTTTAAAATCCAATTTATTGTGGTTTCGACATTCAGTCAATCGTGTGACTGTCCTTACGGTCAGGTCATTCCAAGCGTGTTTGTGACAAGGAGTAAGAGAGGGTGTCCCCCAGGTCCTCCTGGCGATGATCTACCACTTCCGGTGTCGGGGCTATCCTACTTCCGGTTCATGGCTATACCCATGTTACTGTACTGTATATTATTTACAATCTGTAGATTATCTGCCTTTGTATTGAAATCAATGTGTATGTATCTTTTTCAGGATGCTTTACTCAGCAGATGAAAAGAGAAGAATTCAACACGTTTTAAATGTGTATTAGAGAGCCAAGCGGTAGCACATATTTATGTACTGTTCGATGAGTTATCACCCTTGAAATAGTTGATTTTAATACTCTCGGGTGGCTATTTATTGCTTGACTAGGATACCACGAAAGGAAATAGGCGTGTAAGATAAATTCGATTTCATATAATATGGTATAGCGTGCTCCGTATTAGAACATACCGACTTAAAACATCAGGGGAGATAGTAATACACCGAATAACCCTTATCTTTGAAAGGCATTTAGTGAACGTGGTATATAATAAACAGACAGTTTTATGGATAATATTCACTAGGTTTATTAACTGCAACGTTTCAACAAGGATACTCTCACCGTTATCAAGCAATGATACAATCAACATGTTACAGAGGGTTATATACAAGTGGATAACAATAAACTAATTAACAGTTTGAATCAGAAGCCATTGTCGAACTCGACAGTCAGATTACCGTAATACCAAAACGCCTGTGTATGTGTGTGAAATAGCTTTATTTAACACCCGCTTCCACAGAAGTGATATCGCCGACAGTTGCATTATTATGTGATATTTGTTGAAAGGTTAATCATTTAATACTGTTCGTTGGCGCCATATTATGTAATGGACCATGGATATTATTCTCGTATTTATTAAGTAACCTAGTGCGACATTCTGATTAAGGAACATTTAAGACTGTCCGTTGGCGTCATCTATCTATACTAATATTTGTGACTGTCGTTTGTCTGTTCGGGGTTGGCGGCTACACTAGGTCTGCCCCGAGTCTGAAATTTGGGGTATAGGGGTAGCTCGGACCGGGGAGTAACATAGGCCAGGTGGCGTTAGTCTACCACTTCCGGTTTCGGGTTATGACCCCCGAGCGAAGCCGGGCATTCTTCTAGTGTTGTATAAAATAGGTAATGGGTAATGGGAATTACCCAATGTGTGCAATTCATCCAATGTGAGGTTTTGATTACGAAACCTTGAACAGAAACGGATATGAGAAATTTGATTATGAAAATATTTGTGTATCTCTCATATCTCACGATATTTGAAGTCACCAGGAAACTGTAGGTTCAATTACGGAATATAATTTGTGCAGAAACGGACATACGTCATTTGTTCATTCATGGTTTTAGCGCGTGCTGATCAGTCAAATTATACTGTCATATAATGCGGATTTAATGGAATAGATGTGATTGATGCCCGGTGGTAAATACCAATTAATCCAAAATTTGAACAGATGGCGTGGTTGATATATGATAAATGTTAAACGTACGGTTTAGGGTACAGCAAATCAAAATGTGACGTAATTTAGCTTAATGCGGATTCTATTGCATAGATGTTGTGGTTGATATATTGTAAATATCCAACTTGTTATTTCGGGTTCAGTATATCCTAAAGTGTACTTGCTGTGTATTTTAAATGTCATGGGTGCCAAAGACTGTAACGTGTAGGCTAAAACGTTAATTAGGCCGTGGGCGTAACGCCACAAAGTATCCGAATTAAATTTAATAATCGCCATCGTTATCAAAATGGTTCTTTTTCACGTGGGGTTGTTACATTATGAAGATACGGAATGGGCTGAATATGTCGAGAAACTTTTGCAGAAGGACAGGCGACAGGGTTTAACAGTGAAGTTACTGAATCTACAGGGAGTTATTGGCCCTCATTCGCAAGAGGTCGCTGAACTAACGACGTCATGCCTAGTAACACTGGTGCTTTTATTACCGGGCATGTTGGATTTTATGATGGAAAACACGTGGTTAGATGATTATTTTAAAACTATTGTAGAACATCGAGTTATTGCTAACATTGCCTCATTTATTGATGACGATAGCGAATTAGAATCCTTAAAATATTCTTTTAAGTCATCCTCAAAATGGCATCCTTTAACTTTATCCAATAATACTAAAGCTAATGTTAAAATGGTGGCGAATATAATTGATCTAGTCGATGAAGTGGAAATAAAAGAAAGACAAAGACAAATTAAAACTCCAGTTAGTTCTGCGGTTAGAGAAGTTATTCCGTCCAAAGTATATTCGGTAAGACATTAATTTATATTATTATTATTATTACTATTAAAGCCAAAATTTATACCCCATCCCACCCTTCATATACGTGTTTATGGGTGCTTTACAATATGTGTCATCTGCATATAAATGACAATTAAGACCAAGGTTTAGAACAATATCATCTGGAAGTTATGTATACAAAGAATGAATAAAATGGGACCGATCCTTGTTTTGGACCAATCTTTAAAACATATATTTCTATTACTGGAAAATGCGAAAGCTGCTAGATTTAAATAAACTGATTGAAAAAATAAACCCTTAACAAAATTTCAATTTTTTGTAATTAAATTGTCTTCATTGGTCAGCCAAAGCGTTTAATATTACTTAAAACCAAACACCTAGTCGTAACTGCTTAATTTTGTCATATTCAACCAGATCAGTAATATACATTCCTCTTTCATATTTTACACGAGCCTACATAAATGTTAATACTCATTCACGGTTTGTTAAAGATGCTCTTATAGTGTCAGCACCAATTATAATGTGGATTGTTTTCACAGGGTGTGTGTGTGTGTTTGTGGGGTGGGGGGTCGATAGGCTAATGGTTAACGCTGTTTATATCACAAGGTCACAAGGTCTGTCATTGAGTCAACTGACGTGGTTTCGATTCCCCGGTTGTACAACCTCGTGGGTTTTCCCCAGGTCCTCAGGTTTCCTCCCACTGCTAAAGACCCCTACGCATAAGCGAATTATTGAAATCAAATTGAACCATGTGTTAGTCCCGAAATGGCCTAGTTTGTGTCGAGTGGACGTTAAACCCCATTTCTCTTTGTTTCTCTCTCGTTTTCACAGGGGTCATGGCTCGGTGAATTATTAACTACTAGCAGGATACCCGGCTTCGCTCGGGGGTCATAACTCCGAAACCGGAAGTGGTAGACTAACGCTACCTGGCCTATGTTACTCCCCGTTCAGAACTACCCCTATAACCCAAATTTCAGACTCGGGGCAGACCTAGTGTAGCCGCCAACCCCGAACAGACCGGCTTCGCTCGGCGGTCATAACTCCGAAACCGGAAGTGGTAGATTAACGCCACTTGGCCTATGTTACTCCCCGGTCCGAGCTACCCCTATACCCCAAATTTCAGACTCGGGGCAGATGTAGCCGCCAACCCCGAACAGACCCCTTTCGCTCGGGGGTCATAACTCCGAAACCGAAAGTGGCAAACTAACGCCACCTGGCCTATGTTACTCCCCGGTCCGAGCTACCCCTATACCCCAAATTTCAGACTCGGGGCAGACCTAGTGTAGCCGCCAACCCCGAACAGACCCCTTTCGCTCGGGGGTCATAACTCCGAAACCGGAAGTGGTAGACTAACGCCACCTGGCCTATGTTACTCCCCGGTCCGAGCTACCCCAAAACCCAAAATTTCAGACTCGGGGCAGACCTAGTGTAGCCGCCAACCCCGAACAGACAGACAGACAGACAAACGACAGTCACAAATATATATATATAGAAGATGATGAGGTCGCGGATACGGCCCTAGTGTTGGTAGGTAAATTCCTCGGTATTTGTCAGTGGTGCAGGGGAGACAACCTGACAAAGAAGAGCGTCTAGTCATTCGGGCTGCGGGTCCCACGTACACAATGGCGCAGACATAAAAGAGTCTTTGACATTTGGAATTCGACAAAGAGTAGGCAAATGTCCATCTTAATTATCCCAGTTGCTTCAAAACAGTAGGAAGTTAAACCCCATTTCGTTTCATGTTTATTTTCACATTTAAGCCAGGAGAAAAAGTGGCTATAATGTTTAATAGTCCGATGAAAGGAACGATACAAGTTGGTTTTACTGGTTGCGAACATAGAATAGATACACATAAACTCAACCCCTATACATACAGATTCAGAACTCCAGGTAAGGTACATAATAACGCATGGGTGTGTTAATCACTAAACATTACAATGATTAATAGTCGTCCAGCGCATAGAGGCTTTAATAGTAACACATGGGTGTGTTAATCATTAAACATTGAAATGATTAATAGTTGTACAACGCATAGAGGCTTTAATAGTAACGCATGGGTGTGTTATAATCACTAAACATTACAATGATTAATAGTTGGGAGCGCATAGAGGCTTTAATGCATAATAAAGCCTCGGTGCGCTATTAATCATTGCATATTTATAACTCTGTGCACAGATCATTAATCATTACATAATAAAGTCCCCGTGGGCTAGGCGACCATTAATCATTCTATATTAGCGATTGCATATTAAATACTCGGCGTGTCATTAATCATTGTATATTAATGCATTGGTGTGCTAAGCGACCAATTCTCGTTGCATATTAAAGCCTCGGTGAGCTAGACGGCCATTAATATTTGCATAATAAAGCCCCGGTGCGCTAGGCGGCCATTACTCATTGCATATATAAAAGCTTCGGTGCCCTAGACCGATATTAATCATTGAATATTAAAGCCGAGGCGCGTTTGGCGGCCATTACTCATTACATATTAAGGCCTCGGTGCTGTAGGCGGCCAATAATGCTGGAATATTAAAGCCTCGTTGCGTATAGGTATGGTTTGAAAAATAGGCCAATCTACAAGAGAGTCAAATCGTGATACTGGAATCCATAATATCATCTTTCTTAACCAATCAGATTGGTTAATCAAGTGTCTGACGGCATAGGGTCAAAAGCCGCTCGAATGACCCCTGGCGCGACCTCCCACTACAATTGGTCAGATCTTTATGCAGTAGAGGTCATCGAAAGAATACAAAAACCGAAACGAAATATAAATCTGTATTTTAACCAGATCTCTGTTATCGGTCGGGTGAAGTACACACGACTTTCCTCATTGCCTGAAGGGGGTTGGATGGCCGAATGGTTAGCACGCGCGTGCTGTATCATAAGGCCTGTCATTGAGACAAGTGGCGTGGTTTCGAATCTCCAGTTGTATGTGACAAGGAGTAGGGTCGCCTGTCCAACCTCGTGGGTTTTCTCCGGGTCCTCCGGTTTCCTCCCACTGCTAATGACCCCTACGCGCAAGCGAATTATTGATAGTTGGAATTCGATATAAGAGTAGGCCGTAGCGCTACTGTCCATCTTCATTAGCCCGGACAGAGCTGGACCCTGTTTCTCGAAATCTTGACTAAAGATAAAATCCAAATTTTAGTAGATACTTAAAATTTCGTGAAACAGGCCCCAGAACAGTAGGGCGTTAAATCCCATTTTATTTCATTCCATTATTTTTTTTTTAGTTTTTATTGGGTTGTGTTTCTTGTATTTGCAGATCCTATGCCAAAGAGTAATAAATTAGAGATTTACCAGGATTCTGTTCTAATTGGCAATAAACCTATAAACTTTATAACTCCTAATCTAGCTTCCTATCAGAGTGTAGCGTTCATGATGCAGTGTTTTGGAGTTGACACCATACCAGAATTGGATGTAAAACTTTGTGATATGTTTGAAAAAAGTAATCCAGCAGACGCCAGTCTAACCACACTTTTCGCTGATCTTTCATTTTCTTCGGCAGCCGCTAGTAAGTGTATGTTGTACAGCATATTATGTTTGCGACAATTTTCGGTATAGAACTCGTCCATACTCAATAGTACACTAATTTTTGGGTATGGCGGCCATTTAGGGTAGAGACATATTCTCGAAGTATGAAGTAGACGGATCTCTGTGAACAGAACGCTGCACCAGTGTGAAAACCCATGGGTACTAAAATGGCCACTTAGTACACTAATTTTTTGATATGGCAGCTATTTAGGGTAGAGATCTATTCTCGAAGTGTGAAGTAGACGGATCTCTGTGTGCAGAATGCTGCACCAGTGTGAAACCCATGGGTACTAAAATTGCTACTTAGTACACTAATTTTTTGATATGGCAGCTATTTAGGGTAGAGATCTGTTCTCAAAGTGTGAAGTAGACGGATCTCTGTGTGCAGAATGCTGCACCAGTGTGAAACCCATGGGTACTAAAATTGCCACTTAGTACACTAATTTTTTGGTATGGCAGCTATTTAGGGTAGAGATCTATTCTCGAAGTGTGAAGTAGACGGATCTCTGTGTGCAGAATGCTGCACCAGTGTTGTGATCTTATCGGGAAAAGACAAATTAAACAAAACATTTTACCATTGGTACATAATAAGTTTCGGCGCCATTTGTAACAAGGGAATCAAAGAGCTATCCTAGACATAGTCATGTCAAACGGTGACAGCATATTGTTATCTGAAATGCATGCGCAATAAATACTATTGCTGTAGATTGGAATAACCAGGCGCTAGAGATTGCCATTCGATTGAGACTTCTGGCATATTTCGCCGAACTGATTTGAAATTAGAGTAAAAACAGAAACGATTGAATGTAAATCAGTTTATATACATTCATATTACATTATTATATGCGTTGCGACCCATTTGTGTCTATTTCTAGGTGCCAAATATTAGCGATTTGGCTCCTTTAAATCGGGGTTCTCAATCTTTTGCTTAGCGTAGTTATACCCAAGTGCACAGCCTAGAACCAAAGGTTTGTTTATATAAATTGACTACTGAATAAGTATTATCAGTATTCCTGGATATTCGCCATGTGGTGGTGGTGGGGGGGATGACCGAATGGTTAGCGTGTGCGCGTTGTATCATAAGGTCTGTCATTGAGTCAACTGGCTTGGTTTCGTTTCCGAGGGTTGTACTTGACAAGGAGTAGGGTCGCCTGTCCAGCTTCGTGGGTTTTCTCCGGGTCCTCCGGTTTCCTCTCACTGCTATATCCGATTCTATCTAAGTCTGAAGTTTATCTAGCGTTGTTTTTTTTTTAGGTTTTTTTCTTAATTAGATGTTAAATAATCAATGTAAGTAAGGTTAAGAGCACGTGATAGTTGCCGAGATTGTAGGTTAGGGTTAGGGTAAGCATTGGGGCTAAGTCCAAGGTTAAGGTTGCGGACAATCAACCACTCCCATTTTCTCTACAATACACCGATATGTGATGTGTTTTAATTGTCTTCCAGGTGTTTCTGATAAGCCACCGTGTAATTATCCAACCTTACTACATTATACAGCGGCTCACAATCTAACAGAATTTACTTCCCAGTTACTGGAGGCCCCAGGTGCACTCACAGCTTATCAAATAGAAAATCAACATGGACATAATCCCGCTGATATGGCCGAATGCAACAATCACTCAGACCTAGCTCTGTACATTCGGGAATTTACGGTTAGTATGGACCGTTATTTAAATATTTGTATAGTTACATTTATAATGCACGATTAGTACGGACCGTTATTTGGAATATTTGTATGTTACATCTATAATGCATGGTTAGTACGGACCGCTATTTAAATCTTTGTATAGTTGCATCTATAATGCACGGTTAGTGCGGATCGTCATTTAAATCTTTGTACAGTTGCATCTATAATGCACGGTTAGTGCGGACCGTTATTTAAATCTTTGTATAGTTACATCTATAATGCACGGTTAGTGCGGACCGTTATTTAAATCTTTGTACAGTTGCATCTATAATGCACGGTTAGTGCGGACCGTTATTTAAATCTTTGTATAGTTACATCTATAATGCACGATTAGTACGGACCGTTATTTAAATATTTGTATAGATACATCTATAATGCACGGTTAGTATGGACAACAAGCCTTCGCCTTCAGACTATGAACCCATAGCCAAGCGAAGCAAAAGTGAACAGCTCGAAGCTAAGAAATGACCCGGCGGATTAGTTCTCGCCTGCGCTTCGCCTTCGGACTTTGTTAAAGATCCAATACCACTCTTGTTGTTACTGAATAATATGTCCCAATCTTTATTCTGGTCAACAAATTGTACTATTTTACAATATTCCAATTAATTGATGATACAAATTTCATCTTAACACACCTAATTTAAAAAATTGGAAAAATTCAAGTAAATGATTTGAAAAGCCTGACGTAAAGCTTTTCAAATGTGACTTGGATTTAAAAAAAATTTTGAACCCTTTGGACAAGTAAATTAGGATTTAATGGATAATTTACACAACAGGTAGGACACTAACACATCTTGTACTTAGAATAAGGCTATTTTTTTATTTTCTGGAGCTGTCAAGCCAGCAAGAGTGTTATTGTCCCTTTAATTCGAGGGTATATCATAATTTGTTTTCGCGAAGGGTTATGTGAAACCATGCGACATGCGACACAAACTGGAAGTCAATGACACATTCTATGGTCTAATTCTCACAATCAGTGAGTTAAAGACTTAACAGTATATCAATAAGCGCAGGGTGGGGTGGGGGGGGTCGTATAACACGCAAAACAAAAACCAAAAACAACAAGACAAACCTGCGGACAAGGCAAACTACAAGACATTGAAAGAAATGAAATTGGGTTTAACGCCCTACTGTTCTGCTCCAAACTGGGTTAATGAAGACGGGTATACGCCATACAGTGTGCTATGAGGGAAATTTTGCCCGGACAAGCCTATTCTTATATCCAATTCCAAGTGTCAAGGGATCTTTAACGTACACGCCAATGGGGGCATCCACAGTATATATATTCAAACTATTTTTTGTTTATTTTTACAGGATGCTAGAACTGTGGCTGATGCTTGTAATCTATATGTTCATATGATAGGCCGGACACAAACAGCTACTGGTAAATACTTATAATACATTCTTCCTTTTAGCTGGGGGGATCACGTGGCTAAGTGGGTAAGACGCTGGTCCGCTAGCCTGGAGGTCGGGTGTCACACTGATCAGCAGTGAATTTTCGCTAGACCGCTACAATCACTGATAAGGATGACATCGATGCGACTTAATGAGTCCCAAATATTAACTTTTTTTTCCGTCAAATTAAATTCTAAAACATTTTTCTCATTTATTAGAAAAATAAATAAAGACGTTTGAATTGTTTGTAGGTAAAAATCATTTCCTATTTAGTGTAAATGGGTATTAAAATAAGTAAAATTCACCATTTAGCCCGAATCAGTAACGTCTTATGTAAACAATGCACGCGCTATTGAGACAATGATTGACGCCGCGTGATATGTCGAAACAGTCATCTGTTACAGAGATATTAGAAAATCTCTGTGAAACAGATTGGTCGGGTGTTCGATCCCTGCATTGGCCGAGAAAGTCCATCCAGATTTTCCGGCGTGGTTTCCCCTTGTCAGTGATGCAGGACGGAGGGCCTGACAAGGACAGCTGTCTAATCGTTCGGATGGGACGAAAACCCAGGTCCCGTGTACAAATTGGCAGTTGGAAATCGATATAAGAGTAAGCCGTAGCGGCGCTGCCCGGGCAAAATTTCCCTCATAGCACACTGTATGGCGTATGCCCGTCTTCATTAGCCCAGTTTAGGAGCAAAACATTAGGACGTTAAACCCCATTTCATTTCATTTCATTTCCCATTAGCTGTGGACTGAAAATATCAGCACATTAAATCACAGTATCGTTAAAATATTTTAGATTATGTTTGCGTTAGAAAGGCCCCAGCCTTGATCCGTAACAGTACTTCAAATACAAAATCCACTGTCGGAATTCAGCAAACTAGTGGATCCACCAAATGTTCCCTGTACTAGACATGCTTACTTTTTTAAAACCTCTTGTAATCACTTTTCAAATACGAAATGAAATGAAATGGGGTTTAACGTCCTACTATTCTGCTCTTAAACTGGGCTAATGAAGACGGGCATACGCCATACAGTGTGCTATGAAGGAAATTTGCCCGGGCAGCGGCACTGTGGTCTACTCTTATATCGAATCCCAGCTGCCAAGGAATCTTTTACGTACACGTGTAAATGGAACCTCGGTTTTTCGTACCATCCGAACGATGAGACAGATGTCATTGTCAGGCCCTCCGTCCTGCACCACTGACAAGAGGAAACTACGTCGGAAAATTCCGACGAACGGATTGTATTTGGAAATAGGTTTTAGAGCAAAGGTGGTAACCTTTTACGTCCCATGTGCTAAATTTTATCAGTACCATTCAGGTGTACTATATGGCCGAATGGTTAGCGCGTGCACGCTGCATCATAACGTCTGTCATTCAGTCAACTGGCGTGGTTTCGATGTCCCAGTTGGAAGTGATAAGGAGTAGGATCGCCTGTCCATCCTCTTGGGTTTCCCCCGGTCCTCCATTTTCCTCCCAGTGGCGCATTTAATAAGATTCTGGTTCACTAACCGTTGGATTCCGTGTTTTGGCGAGGGAGGACGCGGTTTCCCCCTGTCTAGCATCTTCAATAGAAGGCTTAATCTCGCCTTAACTACGTACATCTTAAAACTCGCGATCGTTGCTTCAGGAACATGCCTGTCTAGTCGCTTTCACATGGCACAATTTGTCTCATTGCGCACTACATGGTCTAAGACTGTCTTCATTATCCCAGTTGATGCAAACAAGTAGAACGTTAAATCCCTTTTCACTTCATTTGCCGCTAGCATGCATTGGCCGAGAAAGTTTATCCAGATTTTCCGGCGTGGTTCCCCCTTGTCAGTGATGCAGGACGGAGGGCCTGACAAGGACAGCTGTCTAATCATTCGGATGAGACGAAAAACCGAGGTCCCGTGTACACATTGACGTGCACGTAAAAGATCCCTTGACAGTTGGAATTCGATATAAGAGTAGGCCGTAGTGCTGCTGTCCGGGCAAAATTTCCCTCATAGCACACTGTATGGCGTATGCCCGTCTTTATTATCCCAGTTTGGAGCAAAACAGTAGGACGTTAAACCCCATTTTATTTCATTTCATTTGCATCATTGTTAAACAGATGCTTCAAACACAGATGTAATACCTGGTGAAGATGCAGCGGAACTGTATGCTGAGGCGAAGTCAGAAGATACCAAAACAAATAAACTACCACCTTTACCGCCAAGTACCCATCGGAAACTAAGCTGTGGTGAGATAGGTTAGTATGCAAAATACACACAATTATACACAAACCATACACACGTTATACACAAATTGCACAAAAGGTACACACATTATACATACATTGCACACTAGAGACACACATTATACACAAATTGCACACAAGAAACACACAAACACATATTATACCCAAAAAAATATTCGCAAATTCTACATCAATTATACACAAATTACAGAAAATTATACAAAAAGTACACACACTATACAAAAATAACACGAAATATGCGCAAATTGTATAAAAAATGTACACAAATTACCAACTATGTGGTAATCTAAACAAATTACCACCCCTCCAGCAAGTACTCACATAAACGTAAACTGTTGGAAGACTATGACATTTTACCAGACAGGCGCTGATAAATGCAATCGTCTGATACATTTGTATCATTAATAACGAACATTTTCTGAAATATCCTGAAGTAAAAATGCGAAAATATTTATAAAAGCATATAGGAAGTTTTTCATAATGTATAATTTATCCGCTGATAAGAATGCTGGATTCTCAATAGATTTATCCAAAAAATATCCCAAGTTGAAATGGGTACATTAAAGGCATACAAATTGTTTTAAATAATTTATACTTTAGATTAGATAAAGAGCTGACAGGTCTCACTATAATAGTTAAAAACTAGATAATGTAAAGGCAATTTGCTGAAAATTTCAGTCAAGTTGATCCACACTGAACCAAGTATTTAGAGATTGAATTTTGGGACTAGCCTCGATTATCATTACTAAAGTCGATAGGATAAAAACGTAGTCTCGATTATCCATTTTTTGATTTAATCAGAAACAGGAGATCGGGTTGTAATCCAGTATATATCACAGGCTAGCGATGCCATCGAGAGTTGATTATGGCCTGGATAAGTTAATTAATGTCTAATTAATAATTTAGATAACATACAAAGCCTAAAGAAAGACCTGGAATTGGCAGATTTAACTCTTGCATAATGTATTTTTTAATAAACATGCTTGATTTGTAAGTTTAAAATACCAAGGTGTCATTAAATATGGACCAATAATAATGTAACTCTGATTTGTATGAAACCTTTTCTTCTAAAGTTGACGGCGTTCACTAATTAGTAAACCAGGGCCCTTATTCACGAAAACTTAAAGTAAGATACAATCGAAATTTTAAGAAATACTGCAATTCGATTGGCTGACCAGTAAAATCAATTTGCATATATCCAATGAAGTTGCAGTATTTCTTAAAATCTCGGTTGTAACTTAGTTTAAGTTTTCGTGAATAAGGGCCCAGGGCGTAACTACTAGCTCAGAGCAACAAGGGGGCGGGGGGGGGGGGGTGATGGAAGTGTTCTCATGGGTTCTGTAAAATTGACGGACAATGGATATCTAAAGTTTTTATGATTGACAATTTTGGAGGGGGGGGGGGCTTCGTCCAACCTGCGCCCCCTCTCCCTTAGTTACGGGCCTGTAGTAAACATACAGAAATGTTTGTTTTTTATTCATTTCTGAATTATCTTTTATTGTTTAATCTCAGTTCATCCTGTTGTACGTTCGAATTCATCACAATTACTCCAATCAGAACAACCCCCTCCTCGACCACCTAGAAACACGGGCGATAGATCTAAATCTAAAAGTTTACCAACGCCTAGCCCAGGCTTACAACCAACGCCTATACCAGGCTTACCACCATCACCAGAAGCATTCCTGAATCAATCTATGAGTAAGTCAGTAAATAGTCATTAATTCTAATGATCATCATTAGAGAGGGTTTAACGTCCACTCGACAAAAACTATGTCATTTCAGAACTAACATAAGGATCAATTTTACAATTTTATTTCAATAATTCACTTGCGCGCAGGGGTCTTTAGCAGTGGAAGGAGACCGGGGGAACCAGAGAAAACCAGAGAAAACAGATTGGTCGGGTGTTCGATCCCTGCATTGGCCGAGAAAGTTCATCCAGATTTTCCGGTGAGGTCCCCCCTTGTCAGTGATGCAGGACGGAGGGCCTGAAAAGGACAGCTGTCTAGTCGTTCGGATGGGACGAAAAACCGAGGTCCCGTGTACACATTGACGTGCACGTAAAAGATCCCTTGACAGTTGGAATTCGATATAAGAATAGGTCGTAGTGCCGCTGTTCGGGCAAAATTTCCCTCATAGCACACTGTATGGCGTATGCCCGTCTTCATTAGCCCAGATCGGAGAAGAACAGTAGGACGTTAAACCACATTTCATTTCATTTTCATTTCATTTCATTTCTTGTATTTTAGATGATGGGGGGGGGGGGGTGAGGGGTAATTATTTTAAATAAAGATATAATATAATGTTTTTATGAATATTAGTGCCGCTGCCAGGGCAAAGTGTCCATCATAGCACACTGTATGGAGTATGCCCGTCTGCATTAGCCCAATCGGAGCAGAACACTAGGACGTTAAACCCCATTTCATTTTATTTCAGGAATTTTAGATGGAGGTGCTGTTGGATCAGCGTCACAGCAAGAACTTATAGAAATACAAAAACTTGTCAAGAATAAGGAATTTACAGAGGATGATGCGTTACAGCTGTTTAAATCATGGAAACAAAGACCATCTACTCAATCTTTTAGAGATAGACAGGTAGGGCCTGTTCCCAGTCTTATAGATATAGACAGGGCCTGTTCTCAATAGACCTTTTCTGTTCTCTATCTTAAAGAGATAGACAGGGTCTGTTCCAAGTCTTATAAAGATATACAGGCTTTGTTCTCCATCATATAGAAATCTAACCAATATATGCCGATGGATCAAAACGACTTCCCAGTCCTGTATATATGACAATACCAGCAGCTAGCCTATAAAATATCAGTTTTCTTACTAAAATCGGTCAGTGCGAAGAGTAAAGGATGGGGGGGGGGGGGCTAACAAGCACACCGTATGGTCGCAATCCTAACCTCTCGTGGAGACAACGTCAACTTTGGCGTTAGGTCGCGGGGAACTAACCGCAAATTTGATAAAATCAGAAGCTTTGATACAATATTTCTGCTCATTTAGGTGCATACATGTATAGAATAGCAATGAAATGAAATGGGGTTTAAAGTCCTACTCTTCTGCGCCGACAGGGCTAATGATGACGGGCATACGCCATACAGTGTACTATGAGGGAAATTATGACCTGACAGCGACTCTACGGCCTGCTCTTATATCGAATTCCAACTGTCAAGGGATCTTTTACGTCCACACCAATGTGTACACGAGGCCTCTGGTTTCAGTCCCATCCCAGCTACTGTACGTTGTCCCTTGCCAGGGCCTCTGTCCTGCACCAGTGACAATGGGGAACCCCGCCGGAAAATCCCGATGAAATTTCTCGGCCAACGCAGGGATCGAATAAGGAACCTCCAGGTTATCGACCCAACGCGTCTCCCATAGGATTACAGTGAGCCTAATGGCAGCAATACTTCGCAAGTTATTTTTTTCGACATTATTTCCACGAATGTAGGAGTGACAATATTTCCCATTGGACCCCCCACCCCACCCACCCTCTCCCACCTCTGGACACGCGCCTTAGAAGCCAGTTACTGAATAAAACTATGCCATATATTATCCATGTTTTGTTTTCCCCAGAAAGCTTTAAAATCTCTACAAGAAGACCAAGTAAGTAAAAGGAAGGCAAGTGAGAGGATTCTCAATCAATTGAAACCAAGTCATAGAAAACAAAAAAGTAACAAAGAACCATGGTGTCCAATCATATCGGTATGTTTTCTTACATTTAAAGGGGCATTGTGTAAGAGAGAGAGAGAGAGAGAGAGAGAGAGAGAGAGAGAGAGAGAGAGAGTTTAACGTTTTATCACATATGTGATAAAGACTGGCACCAATATTGTCCTTTAACAGTAAACCTTTCTACAACGGCTAGGCTACTGACGACATCGGATATACGTTATACTGTGAGGGAGAAATGGGGTTTAACGTCCACTCGACACAAACTAGGTCATTTCGGGACTAACACATGGTTCAATTTTATTTCCATAATTCGCTTGCGCGTAGGGGCCTTTAGCTGTGGGAGGAAACCGGAGGACCCGGAGAAAACCCACGAGGCTGGACAGGCTAGGTTACAACCGGGGAATCGAAATCACGCCGCCAGTTGACTCAATGACAGATCTTATGATACAGCGCGCACACGTTAACCATTCGGCTATCCAACCCCGCATTTAGATATTTCAAAATAGATAATGCAAAATATACAAGTACTGAAAATTTCATTCAAATTACTTTATTATGAGCGAAGTTATCAATGGTTGAAGTCTTGACAAGGTGTGTTTCGTAACCACCGTACTGGTCATTCGAGTCGTAGACTAGCTTCTCCATTTTTTAATTAAATCATTGTATGGCAGAATCATTCTAATCTACTTAAAATCGGAGCCATACCATGGCAACGAGAGTGGTTATGGTCTTGTCATGTTTAAATGGGAGCTGCGGTGAGTTGGCTCACTTAACGCTGTATTGCGTATGCCCGTCGTCATTAGCTGAGTCGGAGCAAAACAGAAGGAAGGGGCATCATGGGAGATTAGATAGAGAGCTGGCAGCTCTGGCTATAAATTTTAGTCGAATTGATTCACTCTGAACAGAGATATTAGTTTTTGAATTTTAGGACTAGCCTGGACCATCGTTACTATGAACATAATCTCGATTATCCACTTTTGGATTAAATCATCAAATCCAGTAAATGTCGCAGGCTAGTTGTCATCGAGAGTTGATTATGGTCTTGTTTTGTTCATAAATGTCTAATTAATAATTTAGATAACATTTCAGGCCTAAAGAAAGACCTGCAATAGGCAGATTTAGCTCTTGCATAATGTACATGTATGTGTAATATCAAATTTTAACACTCCACCTCCATTTTCCAGGGTCCAGATGCACCCAGCCCGATCTAGACGAAAGTTCTGGTGGCAAAGCCACCTTTTTGGGGACTAGTAGGCATTACCCTTAAGTATTTGTACACATCTCTACAACGCCTTTGAATGGAACCTGTATACTGTAGCCCACAAGGCACGCCAGCGCCTTAAACTAGGGATGGTGAAGCGGTGCAATTTCTTGTTTACGTCTTACGACTGGCTCCTCTCGCAAATTTTCCTTGGCAACATTTGTCTACGACATCACCCTATGTGCATGTAGACTTTAACTCCTCCTCCTCTTACTACATCTACTACTACTACTACTACTACTACTACTATTACTACTACTACTACTACTACTACTACATCTACTACTACTACTACTACTACTACTACTACTATTACTACTACTACTACTACTACTACTACTACTACTACATCTACTACTACTACTACATCTACTACTACTACATCTACTACTACTACTACATCTACTACTACTACTACTACATCTACTACTACTACATCTACTACTATTACTACTACTACTATTACTACTACTACTACTACTACTACTACTACTACTACTACTACATCTACTACTACTACTACATCTACTACTACTACTATTACTACTACTACTACTACTACTACTACTACATCTACTACTACTACTTCTACTACTATTACTACTACTACTATTACTACTACTACTACTACTACCTCATTCTTATGATAGATGTTTTAATAATATATTTACAGAGCCCGACGTATGACGCATATACACCAAAGATAAACACAGACAGAGCCAGTAGTATTAGCAACAGCAGTACGTCTATTTTCTTTATTCTTTATGCCCCCATCAGACCGAGGTGGCTTTCTTACTGCGCTGCTGCGACCGTATGGTGACCAGAAAATGCACAAGGTCGTCGGCAAACGTGAACACAACACGAGAAAATGTCCCAAAAAATTACAAACTTGAAAAAAGTCGCATTCTCATAGCTTTCTAGTTCAGATCGCAGAACCTTGGCGTTTGTTTTGAACATGCTCAAAACAAACGCCGTGACTCGGCGATCATTGGCGACCATGGAGACCACGCTTATGGAGAGCGTATTGGAGTTGGCACATGTGTGCCAAGCTAGGACATGGCTCCCTCAATACAAGTTAGTTCTGAGTGTCTTTAACATTACGATGTTTGTAACTGATATGTAGGAACAGAGAATAAAAGTATTATAAGATGTTAAACTAGTCTTGTCATCTGAACCTGATATAAAGACCCAATACTGTAACAGCACTTTTGATTAATGATCATATCACTAACCCTAACCATCGATTACTTGTAGGTTCGTCAAGTAATGGATCGCATCTGTCACGTGATAGCTCTTTATCTGTTTCAGCTGATGTAAATACATCTGATAGTGAGGTAAGTTAACTGGGTGGTGAGAGAGAGAGAGAGAGAGAGAGAGAGAGAGAGAGAGATTTTAACGTCCATTCCACACGAACTAGCTCATTTCGGGACTGACATATGGTTCAATTTTATTCCAATCATCTATTTGCACACAGGGGTCTTTAGTAGTGGGAGGAAACGGGAACTCCCGGAAAAAAAATCCGGGGATGGGTTCTACTACCTGTATGGCTTCCTGTGTCCTTTTTTTTTTAAATTGAACCATATTAATGCACACGATCCATTCACCTGGATACAGTTCAGATTATATCATGCTAGCTGTAAGATTCCTCATCTTTTGGATACCTTGACTAAAGGAGCAATTTCAGATAATTTCTCTAAGTTTCAGGATAAAAAGCCAACCTTGAGAATGGTACTAAAAAGTGCTTCTTAAACAACGACGGAATTGACGATTGCGAGTTACGCTTTCCTTTCTGCCATTCTTTCCGCACTCTGGACTAGCCTTTCAATAACCACTGACTCTTCCTGGGAAACTATGTCTGCCACATCATACTTGATGAACACGGATGTTACCCCCCCCCCCCCCCCTCCCCCCATTAAGCAAGGAGCCACGGTGGCTAAGCGATAAAGCGCTGGCTCGCTATAGTCTGGAGGAAGCGGATACGATCCCCGTGTAGGCCCAGAAAGTTCATCAGGATTTTCCGGCGTGGTTTAACCTTGTCAGTGGTGCAGGACGGAGAGCCTGACAAGGACAGCTGTCTAAACGTCGTTAGGTCGTTAGATCTCTTGGCAGTTATAATTTAATATTTCCCTCGTAGCACAATGTATACCCATCTTCATTAGTCCAGTCAGGAGCAGAACAATACGACGTTAAACCCCATTTCATTTTTGCAATCATGTTGTGGTGGTTGCCTAGACGACGTAATACATGTAATATTTTGTATTTTGTTTAAAGGGAGATAATCGACCACCACTACCCACACGGCGCAGACCATCTGTAGATGATGGTGCTGCTACGAGTAAAGTGAGGAGGGTAAGTTAATACTCATTTTGGAAAATCTGATATCGGCATGTATCTCATGTATAATATTAGGAGGCCCAGGTGACAACGGTGTGCCGATTGGCGGACTGAATGCTCTCAAATTGTTTAGATGTAAGAGACCGGATGTTGCAATTCTATTTACTGAACAGTTTATCTAGAATTCTCTTTTATATGGATGTTACGAAAATCCGTGGTGCCTTGTGCTCATTGGCGTGCACGCAAATGAACCCTTGATAGTCGGAATCGATGTAAGAGTATGCCGTACGTAGTGTCGCTGTCCAGGCAAAATTTCATACATAGCACATTGTATGGCAGCGTATGTCCGTCTTCATATGCCAGTCGGTGTATAACAGTCAGTGGGGCGTACAATTCGAACCAATATACGTTGTCGCTTGCCAGCCAAAGAAGAAGCATGGGTCGTACTCGAATTGCCAGAGCCTTAGACAAGAAGGTGGCTAAGTGTGGTTTGATGGTCGAGAGCGAGACATTGCGTAATATATTGAAACAACACGAGGGACGTTAGTCCCAAGTGTTGTTTCAATATATTACGCAATGTCTTAAGCCGAGATCATTAAACAACTTAAAATACAGACACTCGCACGTGCTTTGTAATGAAATACGTTACGCGGGTCCAAAATTTTAACTAATATAAATAATATACGCTTGGCACATTATTTCAAATAATGATACGCCAACATCAAAAGATGACGTCACATCTCCTGGTTAATAAATATGTCTTTATTTTTGTAATTCTTTGATTGTATTTGTTACAGGATCGACGTAAATCACGTAAAGATATGTATTTAGAGCACCAAGACACAGAAGAGAAAGAAGAAGAGTTGCCTACCTTACCACCACGACGTAAACCCCTTCCTGTACCACGTATTGTATCGAATAGATAGTGTATCACATGATACACAGAATTGTTCAGACTTAAACCCGCTCCTTCACCACGTGTTGTATCGAATAGATAGAGTATCACGTGATACACAGACTTGTGCATACCCGACATAATATATTTATATATTTAGACTGGTATTACAACCTGTTTCACTGAGTATCAAGGCAGGTTTTATTTCTGTGAAACGGAATCGGGATGATCTCCAAATTAAGAAACACAAATCTGTGATTTCCGCGAGTGGTTTCAGCGGATCCGAAGTTTCAGCCATAGTAAAAACAAATCATGATTCATAAATTTAATTGTTTGTGATTAGATGTGGTATCCTGGCAACCTGACACGTCACTAAAGCGATGTCAAGTTTTACAGAAATTCTTATGGATGCTTTCTAATTAAATCAATGTACTGTAGCGGCGAAGTCAGCGCAATGATCATCGCGGACTGAAACAAATGTTGTTTTATGGTCTCAATGTAAATATACAAACTAAGTCATTTCGGAACTAACATATGGTTCAATTTTATTTCAATAATTCGCTTGCGCGTAGGGGGCTTTAGCAGTGGGAGAAAACCGGGGGACCCGAAGAAAATCCACGAGATTGAACAGGCGACCCTACTCCTTGCCACGTACAACCGGTGAACAATGTAAATATACGACTTAAGTTGTGGTATATTAGGAAACACCAGTATTATTTTTAAAAATAAGTTAAAAACTCTAAACATGATCTTAGTGCTACAAAATGAAATGAAATTAAATGGGGTTTAAAGGCTCAATACCACTCTTGTTGTAACTGAATAATATGTCCCAATCTTTATTCGGGTCAACAAATTGTACTATTTTACAATATTCCAATTAATTGATGATACAAATTTCATCTTAACACACCTAATTTAAAAAATTGGAAAAATTCAAATAAATGATTTGAAAAGCCTGACGTAAAGCTTTTCAAATGTGACTTGGATTTAAAAATATTTTTTAACCCTTTGGACAAGTAAAATAGGATTTAATGGATAATTTACACAACAGGTAGGACACTAACACATCTAGTACTTAGAATAAGGCTATTGTTTATATTCTGGAGCTGTCAAGCCAGCAAGAGTGTTATTGTCCCTTTAACGTGCTACTGTTCTGCTCCGAACTGGGATAATATATGAAGACAGGCATACGCCATACAGTGCGCAATGAGGGAGATTTTGCTCGGACAGCGGCTCTACGGCCTACTCTTATATCGATTTCCAACTGTCAAGAGATCTTTTACGTGCACGCCAATGTGTACACGGGATCTCGGTTTTTCGTCCCATTCGAACGACTAGACAGCTGTCCTTGTCAGGCCCTCCGCCCTGCATCACTGACAAGGGGAATCACGCCAGAAAATCTGGATGAACTTTCTCGGACAATGCAGGAATCGAACACCCGACCTCCAAGCCAGCCAGCCAGCGTCTTACCCACTTAGCCACCGTGATCCCCTTCAGTGCCATAGAATCCCTTGTAAACTAGAATATTGTGACCGTTGAATATCTACTAGGAATATCAGTTCAACAATGGTTCCTTTCCCTTCAGTATTTATAAAGATATAACGAATTGAAAATTCCATCGATCGCTTTATTTGCCGTGGACCCAATTGATCGGCCTGTTTTAAATGGGGGGAGGGGGTGGCCGAATTGTTAGCACATGCGCGCTATATCATAAGGTCTGTCATTGAGTCAACTGGTGTGGTTTCGTTTCCCTGGTTGTACGTGACAAGGAGTAGAGACGCCTGTCCAACCTCGTGGGTTCTCTCCGGGTCCTCCGGTTTCCTCCCACTGCTAAATCCGATTCTATCTAAGCCTGAAGTTTATATAGCCTTGTTTTTTTTTTATTTTTGTTTTCTTAATTAGATGTTAAATAATCAATTTAATTCGATAATAGCGTGTATTAAACATATATTATGCAAGAGCTAAATCTGCCTATTGCAGGTCTTTCATTGGGCCTGAAATGTTATCTAAATTATTAGACATTAATTAACTTATCCAGACCATAATCAACTCTCGGTGGTATCGCTAGCCTGCGATGTTTATTGGATTACGTTCGGAATTGCTGTTCGACTTCCATTCATAATTAAATCAAAAAATGATGATCGAGGCCCAATATCCAATCGCTAAAATCTCGGTTCATAGGATTAGCGCTAGCCGTGTTTACTTCTCGTGACTTATGACGAGGAATTGAGCTGGCCTTATCGTTTAGCACTAACCACTGGAAAGACCATTTCAGGCTAAACATTCCATGGAAGTAGTCTCTGCTTACCAGATTTATAACCAAACCAAGAAGCAAGATATCAATAACCTGTCATTGGTCATAAATTAATAGAACTCTGTCCTTAATTTATAGAAACGTGTTTTAAATTTACAGAATTGTGTCACAAATTGTGTAACGATGTGGTAAATTTAAAGAACATAATATATGGCCTAAATTGTGGAAATTGATAGAAATGTGTCATAAATTTATAGAAATGTGTCATAGATTATTTAAAGTTGTGATAAATGTGTCATAATTTCAAGAAATATATCATAAAATATAGCAGAGTGTCATAAACTACAGAAATGTGTCCTATATTAAAAAAATGTGGCATAATTTGTTATAAATGGTAGACATTTGTCATAAATTTTTGATATTTGTCATAAAGTTTAGTTATTTGTCATAAACGGTAGATATTTGTCATAAATGGTAGAAATGTTTCTTTAAAGATACATTCTCGCGTACAAACTGGGTGATTTAATGGTATATGTGGACTAAAAACATATTCAAACTAATTAATTTGTGATAATTTTGCTTCAAATCCTTGTCAAACATTGTAATTGCGAAGGAATGCCCTGCTATAAAAATTCGATCAAACCAGGTCATGTTTACGTCACGTGACTTACCTCTCTTGGAAGTCAGAGGAGAATCCATTGCATACATAAGACGATGTTGTCTTTAATCGCTTACTATTTATTACAAATATCGAATCCTAATTAAATTCTGGGATTATCCACTACCCGCGTCTTTGTCCGTCATTTTTATCTCAGAAAGTGTTGTACGTCTAACTCTTCATAAAGTTTATCAACTTGTACATCAAGCGCTCAATGCTCGCGTGTGACCTTTGACATCACGCGTGCAGAAATTCCTAATCTTCGGACTGTCGATTAGGGGAACCCTTACATTTTTGTCCTGTATACGCTCCATGAGTGTTTTTCGGGGAATCCAGTATTTTTCTAGTAAGATTGGATATCTCTACTTTCCATATATACCAAAATTACCATACTTTTATTGGAAATAACCACCCGATAAATACTTTTCTGGGAACCCATCTTTAATGTGTTTTAATTAAGGTGACTAGTGGCATGTTTCTAACTGGTCATCGTGGTCATCATCAAAGTATTGTTTTTACATGTATCTTAAATCTCTCATCATTGTTTAGCACCCATGAGTTTTAACTTGACTTTATCATAAGAAGGGAGAAGATGACCCACGCACCTCAATGTTCTCACAAAAATGAATTTAAACACCGTGCTTTAAAGTGACATTTTGATGTATAAGATCTTTATTTTTTGTTATTTTTTACTAATTTTTGTATTTATTTATTTATTACTCCTTCATGTGTAAATAAACTTAATAAAATCAATAAATATTCCGTATAGACGTTATATTTGTAATAAACAACAACAACAGTACATATATTATCGTGGGTAAGACGCTGGCTCGCTAGCCTGGAGGTTGGGTGTTCGATCCCTGCATTGGCCGAGAAAGTTCATCCAGATTTTCCAGCGTGGTTTCCCCTTGTCAGTGATGCAGGACGGAGGGCCTGACAAGTACAGCTGTCTAGTCGTTCGGATGGGACGAAAACCCGAGGTCCCGTGTACACATTGGCGTGCACGTAAAAGATCCCTTGGCAGTTAGAATTCGATATAAGAGAAGGCCGTAGCGCCGCTGCCCGGTCAAAATTTCCCTCATAGCACACTGTATGGCGTATGCTCGTCTTCATTAGCCCAGGTTAGGAGCAGAACAGTAGGACGTTAAACCCCATTTCATTTCATTTCATATTTTATCATAGCTTAATCAGGACGGGCGAATCCTAGTCGAAACTCTTCGCACAGTAGTAAACAGTGTATCAATCCGATTAAAAGACAGATCTGTATTTCGTTTCGTTTTTTTTATACCTTCGATGGCCTACACTACATGAAGATCTGACCAGCTGTAGAGGGAGGTCGCATCAGGGTTCACACGAGCGGCTTTTGACCCTATGACGTCAGACATTGATTAACCAATCATCGTTAATGTTGCTAGTAGGTTACCCACAGTTCGGTGCACCTCAATAGCTAATCTTTCACATCACCCAGAACCCGGGTTATATAACAACTCTTCCAGATCCTAATGCAGAATAGACAAGTAAAAGAAATTTTGAACTATAAAGAATGAAACGAAACAGAATCAATAGAGACTTTTGGAAAGCGGATTTTTCCCATCCGTATCCCGTATCCCGTATCCGTATCGTATACGTGATACGTTGCGTCAATGTAGTTTTAGAGTTTTGGCAGATTTTAGCAATTTTTGGTTTCACTAATGTATCATTTCAGAAAGTTTAGCCCGTATATCAACCAGTATGCAGACAGGCGGGAAAAATATGAAAATTCCGAGAAAAACCCATCAAAAATAATGATTAAATTGCAGTCGTTATCACTGTTAAAATCACATCAAATATACACCTTCGTGTTCCAGGATACACATAGATTCATAAAAACGCTATGATGCAACATTTCAGCGTCGAAAAGTAGCCAAAAAGACGGTAAAAAGACGACAGTGTTATACGGACCATTTCCGTATGAAAGCCGTTCCATACGTGCTGCCGTATCCGTGTGCCGTATGACGTATGAGAAATACACTGACATTGATGACGTCACACGCAAAATCCATACGGATACGCGATACGGACCAGGAAATTACGCTTGCCAAAAGTCTCTATTGTTTTAATCAGATCACGTACAAACAGGGACTTGAAACCACGCCAGTTAACGAGCACGTGTTAAACCATTGTCCCCTCCCAATACAGCAGGTATAGTACTATCCGCCATTTTGAAAGATCATATAATTTCTAGTCTTAACATAAAGGTTTTCTAGTGGCGGATTAAACAGAGTTTAATAGATTGTTCTTTTACACAGTGTGGATTTACGGATCAGTGTGTGTATAACCATTATGGATTAAATTCGGCTTAATAGGTTATCGTGTTGCTGGCTGGGGGGTGGGGTTTCATTGTGCCACAGCTTGTTGTTGATGAGAGAGAGAGAGAGAGATAGAGAGAGAGAGGGGGAGAGACAGAGAGAGAGAGAAATGGAGTTTAACGCCCACTCGACAAAAACTATGTCATTTTGAGACAAACGGCTTGTTGTTGATGAGAGAGAGAGAGGAAGAGAGAGAGAGAGAGGAGAGAGTTTAACGTCCACTCGACAAAAACTATGTTATTTTGAGACTAAAATATGGTTCAGTTTTTATTTTAATAATTCGCTTGCGGGTAGGGTTCTTTAGCAGCGGGGGGGGGGGGAACCGGAGGACCCGATAAAAACCCACGAGGTTGGACAAGCGACCCTAGTCCTTGTCACGTGCAACCGGAGAAACGAAGTTTTAATAAAACTTGAACGTACCGTTGAGAAGATTATGTAATTGAAGTTGTGATATGAGAAAAATGTTGCCCGGTCTGTCCCACTGTCACGGTTTCGGTTACGTACTTGGCAATGTGTACATAGGACCCCGGGTTTTCGCCCCATCAGATTAGAGAAGGTTATGTTACATGTGGCAAACCAGTCCTTGTGTATTCTCCACGGGTGAGGATACATTTTTTTTCAGATAGTGATAATGTGCAAATTAATAATTGTATGACTATTTTCCCGATGGGTGGAAACACCTAATATTTCCGAAAATAGATTTAAGAAAATACAACCGAACCAACACTACACAAAATTACCTTCCCCAAAACCCTCGTTACACAGAATCAACTGTACGAGCACCCTTACTGCACAGAATAAACTGTGCCAGCATCCTCACTGCACAGAATCAACTGTGCCAGCACACGACTGCACAGAATCAACTGTACCAGCCCCCTCACTGCACAGAATTAACCTAACATCACACTTACTGCACCGAATCAACTTTACCAACACCCTCACTGCACAGAATCAACCTAACATCACACTTACTGAACAGAATCAGCTTTACCAACACCCTCACTGCACCGAATCAACCTAACATCACACTTACTGCACAGAATCAGCTTTACCAACACCCTCACTGCACAGAATCAACCTAACATCACACTTACTGCACAGAATCAACAGTACCAGCACACGACAGCACAGAATCAACAGTACCAGCACGCACACCACATAAAACCATCTGCAGTACGTTCCATGAATCCCTCGCTAGTGACTTAACTCCATTTATGTCATAAACATAGTTAATGAAGAAAACAATAAAGAAAATTATATGTTTATTCTTTTATTCATTTAACAACAAGTAGGTAAATAAAAATACTACAATCAACGTGTGGCAGAATATACGACCATTAATTGGTAGCTGATTGTAAAGAAACTAATAATCCAAACATTGTGTATAAATATTGTGGAAAAAACCAGCCATGTGCATTTGGAACGGAAACATGTAATTGTTTTATTATTAAAAATCATACATTCTTTGGTTTTTATAAAAAAATCAAATAAATCCCTTCATACGTTTAAGCGTTTGCGAATTTAAGGATTTCATGATTACCATTTAAACAAGAGCAACGCCGCCGCTGCAATATACGTCCACATTCCTGCTTTGATTGATATGGTTTTTATTTAAAATGAAGGGAATGAAATATGAAAAGGCTGCAACAACTGTAATATGACAAGAGGCAGAGAAGGCTAGGTGTTTGTTTCGCCAAAATTTTTGCAGACTTATTATTAACAAAAGGGTGAATGTGACACCGCCCCAGGGGATCGGGGAATGCATCAAAATAAATAGTTGCTGTCCTTAAGGTATAAGGAATAAATATGCCAAGTTCCAAGATGATCCATTCAGAATTGCAGCCAATTGTGGGGGTTGGAGATGAAACAATCTAAATAGGTAGAACCCTGTTATTGAAATGATTGATATGCTGAATTTGAACAAAATCTGATCATAATTGAAACCTGTAGAGTATTTACGGACAAAAAAGTAACTAAAGAGTGGGTGTGACACAACTTCTGGTGTCGGGATATGCACCAAAATAAATAGTTGCTATTATGATCCATTAACAATTCCAGTATGTAAACGAAAAACACTAAAATTGGGCTGGGGGCTGGACCTGGATCAAATTGTAGATTATTTATAGAAAAAATATTAACAAAAAGGGGTGGGGTACAGCCCAAGCGTGCTGGGGGCGGGGGGAATCCTGTACCAAAATTAATAGTTGCCATCCAGGGGCAAAACAGTATTGATGATCCTTAGGGTATAAGGAATAAGTATGCAATGTTTTAAGTGGATCCGTTAAGAAATGCGGCCTGTAGAAGACAAACACTCAAATATAACTAAATGCGTGGTTCTGGCGCTGGGGTTCGGGTATGCACCAAAAATAACAGGGATCATCCTTAGTGTATCAGGAATAAGTATGTAAAATTTCAAGACGATCACTGAAGAATTGTGGCCTGTAGACGACACACACACACACACATACATACACAACCACACAGACAGGGAAGACGGCAACATGGAAGGATGTATTTTATGTACCAATCTCTCTCTCTCTCTCTCTCTCTAAAACTACTTTTTTCAAGGAAAAATTGCGCAATCTCAAAGAAATATGAAAAAGAATATAGAATATAGCTCTAACTCAATATTATTGATAATATTCGACATTAAAACACCAATTAGATTTCAATACTGATACATTTCAAACAATATTGATACATTTCAAACAATATTGATCCATTTCAAACAATATTGATTTTAGCTTAGGTCGATCACACCAATTTGAATTCTGTTGTTGTTCAGGAACAACTGTACAAATTATCCTTCCTGTTTCTTCGCTAAAAAGATTTATGTAAAAACCGAAAGAACTTTGTTGTGCTTTTTAAATGCTTTTAGTTAAAAATATTTAAGTTTCTAAATTTTAAACTACACACCTTTCACGTGATTCAAGTGAATTTTTATTTATCAAGAGCATGAAAAACAGAAAATGTAACTGACTTGGCCTTACCATGAATACATATTTTTCATTATATATTTTTAAACTATTATAGCGAGAACGACCAGCTCTTTATCTTAATCGTACATAATGCATCTTTAATGTACACACAATATATTATGTCAAAGCTAAATCTGTCGATTGCGGGGTTTTTTTTAGGCCTGTAATGTTATATAAACTATTAATTAGATATTTATTAACAAAACAAGACCATAATCAACCCTCGATTGCATCGGTTCGCCATTTAATAGTTTAATTTAAAAATGGGAAAGCGAAGCTAAGTCTCCAATATACCAGTGCCCTGGTTACCACAATGAACACATCTTGTCAAAACTACAAACAGTAATAACTTGACTCAGAATAAAGTAATCTGAATGAAATTTTTAATATTTTCATTTCACATTATCTATTTTGAGCTATCTTTATAAATAACTTATGGTAAAAAAATGCCACCACACCATTGTCCACAAATAACAAACCACGCGATTCCGTTTTACACGGGGGGGGGGGGATGACCGAATGGTTAGCACGTGCGCGCTGTATCACAAGGCCTGTCATTGAGTCAACTGACGTGGTTTCGAATCCCCTGCTGTACGTGACAAGGAGAAGGGTCGCCTGTCCAGCCTCGTGGTTTTTCTCCGGGACCTCCTGTTTCCTCCAAACTGCTAAAGAACCCTACGCGCAACCGAGTTATTAAATGAAATTAAACCATAAGTTAGTCCCGAAATGACCTAGTTTGTGTCGAGTGGGCGTTAAACCCCCTCTCTCTCTCTCTCCCTCTCTTTCTCTCTCTCCCTCTCTCTCCATTTTAAACCTGAATCATGATGGTATATATCTATATTTCACAATTGTACTTTGTTCATATAAAGTTGTACTGAAGACTAAATTTCCCGCCATTTCTGATTTCACTTGGTCCATGTACCACTGTTCTAAACAATCAAATGTCAACGGCTCAAATTCATAAAGCAGTTTATTGACGAATAAGTGTGGTGCCTTGGTCAAAACCGGCAAATCAGCTACTCCCATAATACACACAGCGTGACGAAAGTAACCGCTACCACATAACTCTACACTGTACCAGATTTTATAGCGGGTAAAATAATCCCTGTTCCGCTTCTCTCGATCTCCTGTATTAAATATAAAATAAACCACGAGAACCATTATACAATAATTGATATTGTTGCAAGTTGAATGTTAATTTGGTTCAAATATCATTTCAACGACCTTGACAAAAATTGAACTGGCCTTAATCGTCCACTCGACACAAACTATGTCATTTCGAGACTAACATATGGTTAAATATACTTCAATAATTCGCTTGCGCGTAGGGGTCTTTAGCAGTGGGAGGAAACTCCTTCCTTGTCGAATCGAAACCACGCCACTTGTTTCAAAGCCGTTACTTAGTTTTACTTTGCGTGCACCACAACCCGAGCGAGAGAGAGAGAGAGAGAGAGGGGTCTACTCATCCCGTAGTTTGTCTTTTTGCGGGAGGAAACCGGAAAAAGACATTAGGTTGGACAGGCGACTATACACCTTGTCGCGTACAAGTGATTGCTTGAAACCGCGCCACTTACCTTAATGACAGATCTTATGATCAAAGGCACACATGTAAGGCCATGAAATCACAACCCCGTCACGCTCTAACTCGATTTAACCTTCGCAACACACCCTATCCCCGCCCGGCTCTGTCTCGCCTTTGCTAATGCAACCGAATCGAACCTTTGTAACCCACCCCATCCTCGGCCCGCTCTATTTCGCCTTAACCTCCTTAACAGGCATATTGGTAATGCAACCGAATCGAACCTTCGTAACCTACCCCATCCTGGCCCCGCTCTGTCTCGCCTTTACCGGCATATTGCTAATGCAACCGAATCAAACCGTCGTAACCCACCCCATCCTCGCTCCGCTCTGCCGGCTCGCCTTAACCGCCATAACAGGCATACTGCTAATGTAATCTAATCGGAAATTCGTAACCCACCACTATCACTGCAACGCTCTGTCATTGCTAATCCAAACAATTAGGCCATACGTAACTCACCGATTTCTCATCCCGCATCTCCTCGCAACGTTCCGCCCCGCCATAACTGCAAACAATAGACAGTCCGGAAGTCACCACTCTTTGCCATCGCTGTGCCCCATCTCGCCCTAACAACAGTGATGACTGCAACTTTCTATACGTGGGGGTTGTATCAAGCTGTTACCTGGTTTATGCTTATACAAATATTATGATTATTGCCTATTGAGGGGGGTTGGATGGCCGAATGGTTTGCACGTGCGCGCTGTATCATAAGGCCTGTCATTGAGTCAACTGGCGTGGTTTCGAATCCTCGGTTGTACGTGACAAGGAGTAGGGTCGCCTGTCCAACCTCGTGGGTTTTCCCCGGGTCCTCCGGTTTCCTCACACTGCTAAAGACCCCTACGTGCAAGCGAATTATTGAAATAAAATTGAACCATGTGTTAGTCCTGAAATGACCTAGATTGTGTCGAGTGGACCAAAAACCCCATCTCTCTCTCTCCCCCCTTCTCTCTCTCTCTCTCTCTCTCTACGTACCTATGTATGATCCTGGTATTTGTAGATGTTTATTGTTGTTTAAAGAAGTGAAATATGTTTCATCAGGTGTTCCAATTAGCTTACACCATTCTAGAAAATCTTGAGCCGTTTTATTGTGTAGAACATAGTCTATAAACTGTCGGGAGGCTGTATAATGTAGGGAACCTTTACACGGTGTAATACCACCCGGTGTCGGCGGTCGACCAGCAATTCGATCTTTGTTCAATCTGGAAAAGAATACCACAGTTGTTTTCACAATGAGTAGGCTACCTTTGAAATACATGAGAACTGGTATCAATTGTATTTATGCAGGGACAGTTTTTGGCACATTTGACCAATTTTCTCGAACTTTTTACAGGTAATCTTTGTATTAGCACTATACTAATGACATCATTTGTATTAGCACTACACTAATGACACCATTTGTATTAGCAGTACACTAATGACACCTTTTGTATTAGCACTACACTAATGACACCATATGTATTAAAACTACACTAATGACACCATTTGTATTAGCACTACACTAATAACACCATTTGTATTAGCACTACACTAATGACATCATTTGTATTAGCTCTACACTAATAACACCATTTGTATTAACACTATAAGCAATAATAATGATTCAACTTACATCTTGGCAGCACCCTCTATATCATTAGCACCTTTATAAGCTTGTAATATTTTAACAAGTTGGTAATTTGTTTTTAAGGGGTATTCTTGGCCGGTTAAATTGATCACATATCGCCATTTTACTTTATGTTCATAGAGATCTTTTAGACATATGATCTCTGGTTCCAGAACACTGAATTGTCCCCATACGACATCTACACGTCGTGAAGCCAGGAATACATTGGGAAGACATTTCACAATCGACTTCAAGGCGTGATATATAACGCTAGAGGATTTTTTATCCAGGTGTATGCAGTAGACGTTATGTGGTCTATAAATAACTCTTAGTAATCGTTCTATTTGACCCACGTGTTTATAAACCATTAAGGTAAACGCAACTGGGAAATCTATCTCCTCGTCTGTTATTTTATCCACAATGTAGCCTCGATTAGACACGAATCTCGAACAATTAGACGTGTATTCTTTATACGATTCTGGTAGAATGACCATTCTCGGATGCGTAGCCATGTAACGTTTTGCTTCCCTGATGTATGTTGTATTCTTTTCAGGAATCAGTCGTTGACACATTTCTTTAACACTAGTAACAGCTTGTTTCTCGACAAAGAGTGGCTTAGTCCGTAATTCCGTGTAAACTGTATGGTTTTCGAAAGTTATAAATTTATGGCGATTTAGCATCATATAATAACTCGTTAAAATGCATATCACAATAAACATCATTAAAATTATCCAGCATTTGCGCACAAAGCGGCCATTGAGCATATTCTTGAACCGGGACATTTTCTGAAAAAAAACATGGATAGTATTATTTCTATAATTATTATTATTATTATTATTATTATTATTTCCATAAAGGGGGTCACGGTGGCTACGTGGGTAAGACGCTGGCTCGCTAGCCTGGAGGTCGGGTGTTCGATCCCTGCATTGGCCGAGAAAGCTCATCCAGATTTTCCGGCGTGCCCCCCCCCCCTTGTTGATCGGATGGCATGCACGTAAAAGATTCCTTGACAGTTGGAATTCGATATAAGAGTAGTCGGCAGTTCTGCTGTTGCCGGGCAAAATGTCACTCACTGTATGGCGTATGCCCGTCTTCATTAGCCAAGTTCGGAGCAGAACAGTAGGACGTTAAACCCCATTTCATTTCATTTCAACAAAGTGTGTCCTCGGGCGGTTTACAATAAACCGTACATGGATGTTACTGATAAGCTTAAGTAAAACGATCACACATAATATTGAAATATAAATTTTAATTAATGTTGAAACAGCATGTATTGTTAACAATAGGTAAAACGGGTTGCAATTCATCAGTGGCTTTACCTAGTATACCACTGAACAGGGGCGTGCTGGCCCCGAAGGCGCGCCGCTGTTAGGGGGTCTGGGGGTGTTCTCCGCCCAGAAAAGTTTTGAAATTTGACAACGGGAAACGCGTTTTGCAAGCACTTCTGGGAGAAATCTAGGTATCATATTTTCCAAATTTATGCTGCTATTTTGACTATAAGACATACTACTGTACTACACAAGACACTCATGACAGGTATGCTTAATATAATGCTAATACAATGTATTTCTATCCAAATAATAAATTGCATCTTATACATATCGAGGCATGAATATTGTATGAATCTTTAGTCTCTATGAGACATGATACTAACACAAAAATGCTGGAAATGCAATTATGCTATAAGCACCACCAATTGTTTTAATCAAAGACCATTTCACCTTAAGGTGACCGAGACATTTGCACGTCAGCATAATATATTTTACTAATCGTTGTGTATGTATGATTTTTCGCGTGCCCACTCTCAATTTTTTGAGGGGATTCCGCGTGAAAATTAGAACTCTCATGGGGGCCCGCTTATACGGGTGGACTTATTGTTTAATGGGGGCCTAGGAGGACACCGTCCTCCTAAACTCCCTGCCAGCACGCCCCCTGCCACTGAATTAAACGAGTCGAAACGAAAAGTGAATAGCGAACAAAATCAAAGTCTTTTTAGCGACAACACGTAAATACTTGAGTATTTTGCTAATTTTTCTGATATGATGAGAACCAATATTGCTAATAGTGAATGGGCAGGGGGAGGGGAGGGGAGAAGGGAGGGGAGGGAGACCGTGTTAAGTTGGCGTCTGCAAGAACAATAATATCACAGTTTAATGTTTTTAGTTTTGCCAACCACAGAGTACTCAATCTTTTCAGCGTTGAGTTTTAGAAACTTTTAACTTATCCACGTCGTGATATCTTTAATACATGTTTCATTTTGAGTTTGGAGAGACCACAATCATTACTCATTTAAATACGTAAGTCTATTGGGGATTGATTACAGCGCTTAGAGCATGCTCATGGATGGATTAAGCGCTATATAAATGTACATTATTATTATTATTTATTATTTTATGGATTAATTTGAAATTCAATGGCTACGTAAACCCTATATATGATATATCACAAGCCTTACATTGCGTGATACTAGATCCTAACTAGATCGTTAAATTTTGGCGGCCATTTTGGAATTCGGATAGAACCCTAGTGAAAATGACGTCACAGAAGTGACATAATCTCAGACAGTTGGTTATGGGCTTGACATGTGAATAGATAATAATGTAGATAACATTCGAAGGCGTAAAATGACACAATTCATAATATTATTATTTCAATAAATAAAGGGATACCAAAAACTAGTCAAATTATCATTGTAATGGTAATTCCACGATAATCACGCCGAAAACAGGCAGGGACCAATAAAACAAACCCTTGAACAAGATAAATACACGGACGTAGCTTGCATTAAACCACAACAGTAGTATCAAATCAAGTGAATGGATCCCTGGGTTGGCCGTAGTGATATAACCATCACTTAAATTGTCTCAAAATTAAAACATGCCACGATGAAATGTAAAATTTCCCAAATATTATATTATTCTGGTGTGTGTTTATTATAAATTATTCTGGTGTGTGTTTATTATAAATTATTCTGGTGTGTGTTTATTATAAATTATTCTGGTGTGTGTTTATTATAAATTATTCTGGTGTGTGTTTATTATAAATTATTCCGGTGTGTGTTGTTTATAAATTATTCTGGTGTGTGTGTGTGTTGTTTATAAATTATTCTGGTGTGTGTGTGTGTTGTTTATAAATTATTCTGGTGTGTGTTTATTATAAATTATTCTGGTTTATAAATTATTCTGGTGTCGATTTATAGCTATTTAGCTTATAGAAATGAGGAACAGAGTCAGGTAAAAAAAAAAGCAGATGTGGTCATAACGGTCTTAAGCCACAACGGCCAAAATTCACTTTGGTCAAAACGGTCATATTTTGGCCATAACGGCCAAACAATATCAATTTAATGAAAAACAATATCAAAAATAATATATTTTACAAAACATTAATTTACCTTTAATGAAGATAACAACTGACTGTTAATCATTTGACAAGAATAACAATTCACTTTTAACAAGATATGGCTATTTCTATTCCAATTAGTAATAACTGTGTCGTTTGCTGACACCGATATTAATAAGAAGAATACATCGACATTTTAAACAGGGAATCTGTTTACTTGTAACGTATGGTAATTTGTCATAGAATGCAACCTTAGATATCAGAAACGTAAGTATGTTGAAATATTTTAAATGTCAAAATGTAAATGAAAATATATCTCATTATTAATATGTTTCTTTTCAAATATACTATTACTAAAGCACGACTTATCATTATTATTGGGGTTTTTTTCTTTTTAGAAATACAGAATATATGGTTCTAGCTGATATTTCTATTGTTACTTCGACAACTAATATGTCTTTCAATGAAGATGGTTTTGAAAGATCTATGGAAATGAAATGAGTTGCACGACATGTACCATTCAATTTTCGCTGTGAGGCTTGCAAAAATGCTACTGCTAGGTTCAGGTTCTCCTCGCTATATATCACACATAGCCGTCGAACCAGGGTCGAACCCGGGGCTCCAACGAATAAAGTTTGACAACACTTCTAATGCTTACGTGTGTATATATGATTTTTTTGTAGGCAACTAATGTTGTTTGGGTTGATTACTGCCCAATATTCATTGACGATTTAATCCAAAAATGGATAATCGAGACTAAGTTTGTTTATCGTACCGACTTTAATAATGATGATGATTGAGGTTAGGCCTAAAATTCAAAGGCTAAAATCTCGGTTCAGAGTGGAGCAATTTGATTAACATTTTCAGTTTATTCTCTTTAAATAAATAAACCTGCTTAGTGTTCCTCGTCCGTCATTATTTACTAGAAAACATAACAACTAAACGCAACTCTATGGGGCCAGGGAACCACGGTGCCTCAGTCTGTAAGATGATAGCCCAGAAAGTTCTTGTGAATTTCAAGTGACTTAAAAATACGCGAGATATTGAAAACGAAAAGTGTACATACAGCATATGGATACAGTAACAAGCTTCTAATTATGCGATTGCTGATAGCCATTTGGAGTTTCAACAGCACCGTATACATTCTAGGCATCCATGTTCGTGGAACAAAATTACTCGTTTGCTATTGTTTCTAACTTGTATCAGTTTAAACTGTTTCATTAATCGAATATTCAGACATATCGTGGTATTTTTCAATATATTGATATTAAAATTGATTTGTTGTGTTATATATATAGTGTTAATATAGAATATATAAAGGGTAAAAATACCTAAAAAAAAGTACTATTGTTAATCGGCATACCTTTTATCATTTTATCGTTTACCGTGAAACAAAGTAGTTCAGCTTTATGGTTGTTCTAATATTTCTGGAGCTAGACTCTGTTACGTCTTTTTTGTATTCCTGGTTGTTTTCAAATTTGAGTGAAGTCTGTGTCACTACAGGCCCGGGGCTGTACAGAGCAGTGGACGCTTACGGCTGGCCTCCGGATCCATTCACTTGATTTGATATTTGTTTATTTGGTGCAATGTCTATTTTCTGTCTAGTCCGCAGGTTTATCTTGTAGATTTTTGTTTTGCGTGTAGTGCGGTCCTTCTGAAGACGTGAGAAAGTGGATCTGAGAAGTGCCTTTCAAATCCTGTCAGCTGAATCCAATGCCTACAGAACTGGTGAAGAAGCGTGTGAATATCCTAGCACCTTTCATTACAGACTTGATAAATGAATCTTTGTAGACACGGGGGCTAAGTGGGTAAGACGTTGGCTCGCTAGCCTGGAGGTCGGGTGTTCGATCCCTGCATTGTCCCCCCTTGTCAGTGATACAGGACGGAGGGCCTGACAAGAACAGCTGTCTAGTCATTCGGATGAGACGAAAAACCGCGGTCCTGTGTACACATTGGCGTGCACGTAAAAGATCCCTTGACAGTTGGAATTCGATATAAGAGTAGGCCGTACTAACGCTGTCCGGGCAAAATTTCCCTCATAGCACACTGTATGGCGTATGCCCGTCTTCATTAACCCATTTAGGAGCAAAACAGTAGGACGTTAAACTCCTAAATTCAAATATTTCCCATACATTGTCTATTGAATTGGGTTTTTTTAATTATTTTTTTTATGAATGATTATGTGTACTACTTCAATATATATGACTGTTAAATTTTTCCGAAACCATTTGAGGCTAAGAGGAATTTATTTTGAGACGTAGTTTTAGCTATATGCTAAAACATATAAATTTCATGATGCTATATCTCACCCACTGCGGGGCTGAGGACAATTCTATTAATAATGGAAGTTGAGGACTACTAATACTAATATGTGGTTTTGACAAAATGACTGGCACGGATTTCTTTCATATTAAATTTGATGGTCGAACTTGAAGAAAATGACTTCATTTTTGACATCATTTTTCCAATAAAATCATTCATTGCCTGGATTATTAGGCCTGATAATGCCCCATGCAACCGCCTTCCAGCAATTCTGTGTAGGGCTGGTACAGATGATTCGGGAGTTCCACAAGGATCAGTCCTTGGACCTGTCCTTTCTGTAATGTATACTAAGAATATGGGACAACTAATCGATAATCATGGTTTCTAGGACGACATTCTTATGCAGATGATACACAGCCGATCGCTAATTATTCCCTTTCAAAAACTGTTTCATTCCCTAATTATTCTGACATCAAATTGTGTACACATGACATTAAAGATAGGATGACAAGAAATATGTTGAAATTAAATTTAATTGAATTAAGTAAATCAGAATGTATTTTATGTGGTCAAAATACACATCTGAAAAATACAAGTTCAAATGATGTGGTTGTACGAGATGCAATATTTTTACCATGAGACACTGTGAAGAGGTTTTGGTGTCCTCTTGAGCATGGACAGTCACATTAGTGAAATTTGTCGAAACTGTTATCTTTGGTCCAGGAACTTTATTAGCCAGGAAGCAGCTGCTACACTTATATGTTATTTGGTATTCCCAAGGATTGACCACTGTAACAGCTTGTGAGTAGAAACATCTAGTGCCAATATTAAAACAAATCAACTTGTAGAAAATACCGCAGCTCGAATTCTTACCAGATCATCAAAACACTCTCATATTACTCCTGTTCTGAAATCAATCTATTGGCTGCCAATCATCTTCAAAAGTCTGTCTTTGACGTATCAGTATGTGAATCATTCACAGTGAATGGCTTAGCTCAAATATACTTATCTAACTTTATGCACATACAGGTCCCCTCGAGCAACCTCCGGCCGAACTCACATTCATCAGTTTTGTTGGTCAAGGTGAAAATTAATATCATTTGGATACGGATCGTGCTCAGTGAAAGCGCCTAAACTGCGTAACAATCCAGAGATCATTAAATCATCTCAAACCCTTTCTTGTTTTACAGCAAGACTTATCAAGATTAATTAAATTAATTTAATTGTATGCGCAGTGGACACGCCTCTGTACATGGAGTACGTGCGCTATATAAATGTACATATTAATATTATTATTATTATTATTCGTCAGGCCCAAGTTAGATTTGCACTCCAGCATCCAAGATGGCGGATGAAATCAGCTGTTCATTTTCCCGTCTTTTGCACAAATAAAATGCGGTTTAGTAGCCAGTTATCCGAAAGAAAGCAATAGCCAGAGAAATGCCGCTCTGGCCATTGCTGGATTGACTTCTGATACTTACGTTTTTGGGGGAGTGTGTCTATTCTTCCCGTTCAATCAAGTCGCTCCTAAGTAAAGTCTTTCATTTAATCTGGGTCTTCCCTAAAACTTTGGACAGTGATTTAAGGTATTTAAAACGGTGAAAATATTGTTCGTCTCCAAACAGTATAGTTTACATTGTAGCCATGTTGATAGCATCGTTTGTCACACAATTAGTTTTTCTTCAATATTCTGCTATGCACTGGTTAATTGGGCGTAATAAATTTCGTGAATCATGACGTAACGTTATGTTAACATATTTGAAACTCTGTTTAAACCAGAATTATATTGTTACGAAGTTAGGTATTGGTTGTTAATCGGACTATTGACGAGTCATAATTTGGAACAGAAATTTGCTTTCATTACGGCAGTGTTGAGTAGGATTAGGTCTAATCAAAGTAAACACTGCGGTGAGTATGCTAAAAATAGTGACCTTATGTTCATATACAATTTGTTTTTTGTCTTTTTGAAATATCGCTTGATTCGTTTGTCAAGTATAGACAGATGTATATGACTAGTACACTATTTAGTTTTTACAATTTGCTGTTCAAAAATCCATCATCCTTCCACTAGATCATGAGGTTATATTGCCGAATTAATAAAATGTTGACAAATAGTCTAGAGACATGAATTGTATTTACCAAGAGCAGCTCTTTTGGCATTTACAGTAAATTAAGCTTTTCAAACTTCATCGTTTGAAAATTTTAACCGTGTAATTGTGAGCTCAGTTTTCGTGATTAGATACTTATTGGATAGATAGACAGATAGATAAATTTTAACGGTGTAATTGTGAGCTCAGTTTTCGTGATTAGATACTTATTAGATAGATCAGATAGATAGATAGATAGATAGATAGATAGTAATAAGTATTTGTAGTTTTGATTATGGAACATGAAAGTATATAATCTGCGTTTATATTTATTTGTTTATTTCTATTTTTATTATGGCTTGCTCTTAATGGAACTGGAAACCACGTTAATTTGGTTTCAGGTGCCATGTTACGCTTTTCAGTGTGTAAATAAAGTGGTTTATTTTTCTTCATTTTTGTTGAATATCGTTATTTTTGTACAAAAATGGAAATTATTTACTACTAAACGGGTCGAGTGCCACCCAATTTTTTTCTTGATCTTAATACTATAGACCATTGCCTTTTCAGTCAGCATTCCAAAAAAATACTTAAACCCGCAGTGGGTGAGATATAGATAGATTAAAATGACATACCTAAATTGAGCTATTTTGGTACCTTGCAGCAATAAGTCCCTATACCAAAAACCGCCCCATGAAAATCCATCAAACTTTCAGAATGTAACCTCACTAACCATATCTGCTACGCTATAAAGTTTCATTAATCTACTCGCCATAGTTTAGTTGTACGAAATAATTGAAAAGTGGCCTGAAAATGATGATTTTTTGGCTTTTTTCAGTCTTAAAATTTCAAAATTTTTTCTACGGTCTAAAAATGGCTCGATTGATCTAAAATTGTGGCAGTGGGGTTTGGAGGGGTTACCCATCATACATAAAAAAAAATGGTGAAAATCGGTCACCCACCATGTGCCGGTCTCTGCATGGTTCTCTCGCAAACGCATTCTTAAGTTACAATCGTTCTTCGTGAAACGCATACAATTTAAAATTTCATTTTGATTTTAGTTAAAATCTATTTTAGTGATTTTAGTTTAAGTGTTTGTTAAACATGGCCCTGGACATGGTGGTGAAAGGTTATGGGATAGAACCCATTTTGTTAGGAAATTCTAGTCGAGAGATGGGATCGGAATCAGTGATAGACGAGTGATTAGGGATCTGAACGCCCCTCACCCCAGCTGTTCATGAATGGATGGATATATTAACAACACAGATTAACCAGGCTTACGAAGATGGGTTGACCTACTCCACGCCCGTCACCCTCAGCAGTTAATGAATTGATGGATATATTAACAACACAGATTAACCAGGCTTACGAAGATGGGTTGACCTACTCAACGCCCCTCACCCCCATCAGTTAATGAATGAATGAATGAATATACGAGCAATACAGATTATCCAGGCTTACGATGATGTTTTTAACTAATGAATCTCTTGTTTTCAGATTCGATCAACTGAACGCCCCTTACCCCAGCTGTTCATGAATGGATGGATATATTAACAACACAGATTAACCAGGCTTACGAAGATGGGTTGACCTACTCCACGCCCGTCACCCTCAGCAGTAAATGAATTGATGGATATATTAACAACACAGATTAACCAGGCTTACGAAGATGAGTTGACCTACTCAACGCCCCTCACCCCCATCAGTTAATGAATGAATGAATGAATATACGAGCAATACAGATTATCCAGGCTTACGATGATGTTTTCAACTAATGAATCTCTTGTTTTCAGATTCGATCAAATTTCACTTAGCTTATAT